TCTCTCTCTATCTATCTATCTATCTCTCTCTATCTATCTATCTCTCTCTCTCTCTCTCTCTCTCTCTCTCTCTCTCTCTCTCCTCCCACCCCCTCCCTGTTCTGCATTTGTCTTCCCCGCACTGATTTCTTTTACTCTAATTGCCTCTCCTTCGGTATGATTTTCACTTCGCTTTTCAATACGTTGGCTTTCCTTAATAAGTCTCAAGACTCTTGAGTTTTAGTCATTGCCCGAAGAGACGTCTTAGTCTGTTTCTGTTCTTGAAATTAAAGTGAAGTTGCATGGTAAGTGGCGGAGACAGGAGCTTTCTTATTTTTAACAAAGTTTACTCTTGAATTTCAGTGTTTTGTTTCTGCTGCCCCACACCCCAAAGGAAAAATAAAACTTTTAAGGAGGTTATTACGTTTATCATTACAGCAAAATTAAATTGTGAGTGGTTGGTAAGTGCTCTAGTGTGGTTTGCTCCTTATTTTCTCCTATCACGTCACTCTATCGTGTTCACCTCTCCTTGTTCTTTTCTTTTTATTGTGTTATTCTCTGTAGTAACATCTCTATTCTTCTGCAGATATACATGTATATATGACTTAACGGTGTTGCAAGTGCCGTTAAACTCGGTCTAACACTAAAATTAAAAGTGCATTTATCCATCACAATACTTTTGGTAACACTGTGTATGACCTCAATGACATACGACCTACCAGCTCTTAATAACAATTTCTCCTGTCAAATGCATCTACTTCTATTCGAGATCGCTCGTCTTAGTGGGCTTGGGTCTTGTAATAATCGGGTACTGTCAGCTCTCAATTATGACCAGCTCAGAGAGTAGATATAGATATCAACATTGATAAGGGTGAGCATACAAATCTCTAGCAATTCTCAATGCTGACCTAATTGAGATAAGTACTGCAATTTGCTCGGAATTGGGAGTAGGATGAAGACTCGAATAGTGCCTCGTTAGCCGAAGGTCGGACGGACCTTTTACTTTCTTTTTAACAATCTGAATAGTATGATGATGATAATGATACGGCATTGTTGTGTCATCTTCTTTATTCAGCTTTGAGCAGGGATGTAAATGTTTCACAGTTTTTGCTGATCTAAGATTGGTATGCCTTTTTGTTGTGGAAACAACAACAACAACAACAACAACAACAACAACAACAACAACAACAACAACAACAACAACAAAAGTAGAGGATTGCATTAAGGCTATATTGGGTTATTTTTGTAGTTGATTTTTTAAAAGGAAAGTGAACATTGGTGTCATATTGCAGAATTTCAACATTTGATATTGTGAGGGGGGTCGGGGAGGACAAATTGTCGGGCTAAGCAGAGCCTTGAACCGCCGAACTCGCAACCTCATGATTACCTTTAGTCCTGTAGCCTAGCCACCAGACCATCGACGCAACTATTCGTCCGTCCCGCCGTCAATCCTCTCCTTCCTTTTCTTTCGAAAAAGCGCCAGATTATGTTTTTGATTGAGAGATAGGTAGGTTGTATCTACATGTAGTAACTATCATCTTCATCATAAAATGCCAGATTTGAAACAGACTTTCGGGACCATGGTTCTCCATTCATGTCTTTGCTCGGATGCTTTAAAAAGAAAGAAACTAGAATATCATCTTGGTCCTTCCCTGTCACACATTTGATCAGGTTTTTTAAAGTAAATTGTCCTGGTCTATACCTGCCTCATTTACATTCTATACTGGTGAAATAGAATTATTATACCGGTATGTGTGTTTGTGTGCGTATATGTGTTTGTGTGTGTGTATGTGTGTGTGTGTGTGTGTGTGTGTGTGTGTGTGTGTGTGTGTGTGTGTGTTTTATTGTTTCGTTTTCGTTTTCGTTTTCTTTTTTTTTAATGAGGATAGTCTGTTCCCATCCTTATTCTTCTTTGCATTGTGATAACCATACAATCGTTTCGCTTGTTTGCCATCCGAAAAAGATAACGATAATATTATGGTCTTTTTCGTAAATTAATTACATTACCTATTTGGTGCCAGTCTACCTGATTGACGACAGTCTACCTGTTCTGT